TATAAGAGTTTCACACTGCAGAGCAAAACCTTAATTTTGGGTTCCATGTGGCTGCTTGTCTGTCATCCCCATCCTTTGTTTCCCTGGGACCTTCACTTTAATTTGGAAAGTCTCTTGGAGAGAAATTCATTCCTCCTCTAAACGCACCGCACCAACAGCTGACAACACCTATCTTCTTTGGACAGTCTTCAGGCAGTGTGGAGGGAGTGCTGCCTTGCTCTGCACTGAATCCCTGGCTGTGTTTAGGAGGTACTGGGAAAGAAGCAGATGAACTGACTGCTGTGGCTGGCAGGGAAGTCTTCTCTGAAGTGGTTGAGTTAGGGATGACAGGTAGCCTAGAAGTTGTCCTATAGCAGGTTTGGAAGGGTGGATTGCAGTTCTTTCTTCTTACAGACAGATTGGCTTGTACTTTGGGGTAAAGCCCATCAGTCTTCCCTAGGTGATGTGGAAGAAGCTTATTCAGTGAGACAGCTTCTTCATCACTGGGTAGGATTTGTAGCTAAGAATGAGTAAGGTGCAATACTCCTGTAAACTTCTGCAGGTAAGAGAGCAGGAGGCGGGTGTGTTTAGGTGGCTTGTTTGATGACTGTAAGGTAGATTAATCTGAGAAGAGAGAGTGGTTTGAAGTAAGGAGTGCTTGCATGGTTCCTCTCTTGGCAATTGCCTTAGAACAGTAATATTTCTAAAAGCTAGATAATTGTCTTGGGTAACTTCTGCGCTTGTGCTCATGCTGTGCATAAGCCAGGGCAAAGGCAGAATTTATGCCTCTCGCATGGAGGCTCAGATTTGCAGGGCTGCAGACCTGCCCTGTAAGCCCTTAAAGGCAGGACTAGAACAGTGTACTTTTCTCTCCAAGTACACTGAAGATGTGTTGGAGAGCTTGGCCTGTACGCACTTGTGTCTGTAATGGCGACAGGCTAGGTCTTAGACTGACAATGCAAATACTTCTAAGACCATGAAGCCAACTTTTGCAAAAGATGCAGGAAGAGTACCAGATTTTTTAAATTGATAATTTGGGGTAAAAATCATTGTAGGGAGTTTTTTGTAAATGGCAAGAACCTAAAGTGTTGACTCCAGTGAATGTCCTTAGCTGCAAAATAGTATTCCTGATTATTAGCAAGGATGAATGTATCTTCCTAAGGCTGTTAGGTCTTTTAGTTGTGTGGTAGCATTGACTAGTGTTAGATTGAATGATTCCCTGGGGTTGGGATAAGGTGGTAGCCTCACCATTACTTTCACTTTCTGTGTCAGCAGAGTAATGGTCTTCCAGTGTGCCACACCTGATAACTTGTCATTTTGTCTAATCCTGTTAGTACAATTACTGCCTGTGCCTTTTGTACAGAAGGAAGTCCCTGCCTGCTGAGTTACAGGAGGGAAGGCTGCAAAGCAGAATGGGTAACTATTCATGTCAGCATGCTTGGTTAATAGAGAGCGTATTATTACTTGTTACAGTTCTCTGCTGCCTCTGGATGCTTTAACTAGAATCTGTGATGAAAGCTTTGACCTTTGTCAGGTGAACTTTGCAGTATTTCTGGCAGATGCTGCAGCCGTGAGTCAGAAATACAGAGGGGCATTATATTTTCTTCTTTTCACTGGGTTTGGAAAATAGCAGAGACCTGTGTTTCAGGCTCCAGCACACTCATTGTTAAGAGCCTGCAGGTAGTCTGCAGCAGAAACCAATGTAGGTCTGCAGCCTAAAGGAGCTGCTCTTTAATTAGCTAGAAGGTCTGTCTGTTTCTGCACCCCTTGACTGCAGTGGAAATGAGAAGTTAAAACTTCAGAAGTGGTATGCTCTCTTCTTGTATCTGTAGGGAATATATGCTGCAAGGCTCCTTTGCTTTTACAGCTGTGAGCAGAGGGTGGTGTCATGTCCCTGATCAGCTCTATCTTAAAACATTGCTCTCATGGTGGGTTCCATTTGATAATGCTCCTCTATGTGCAGGCTGCAGTGAAGAGCCCAGGTGGAGATGTGGCCTTTGGAGGAAGTCATTGCTCAGCTGTAAAGGTGATCTGCAGTGGTAGTAAGCTTGTTTTTTCAGTGAAAGAATCTGACCATGGAGGAAAAATATAATATAGTGAAGCTTTGCAAAACTGTGCTGAGTGCCTCTTTTAGGTAAGGAACACTTCAGCTTCCCAGGGCTGTCTTAAACACTCAGTATTGTCAAGTGGCTTATGTAAGCTGATCTTTCTAAATGGCATACGTGTCAGAACATAAATACATTTAGTCAGGACCATGCATTCCAGTGTTACTGGTTCCTGGCATAACTGGCTGCTCTAAATGACTCTGGCTAGAGCTGTGTGCTTCAAAACCTTTTTTTTTTAAATTAAAAAAAAAACTACCAAAAACCCCTTATACCCTGATATGTTTAGCCTTGTAGGCAAAAATCATAATGCACATCAGCACTTTCATCAAATCTAGGTGGCTTATAGTGTAGCCTTCAGACACGAGTGCTGTGTTTTCCTCTTATGAGCTCCCTCACAGTGTGATACCTGGGCAGCAGAGACTGGGTTCTGCCTACTGATTATTACACTAATGGAAGGAGCTGCAGAAACAGTTAACATACGCAGAATTTTCCATTAATCAGAGGAAAAAGTCCTACACAGATGGTATATAGGATAGATTACGGCTAGTAATCCTTTTGTGTCCTAGAAGATTAAGGATATCCTGGTGTAGCTGCAGTCAGCTGACCTTTTTTTATTTAAATGATTGAAAACTCTTGATGCAGTTCTGCAGAGGACCAAGGCTCTTCCAGAACCCACGAATGGTGCACTGTGAATGTTTGTTAAAGGAACGGTTTGTTTAAGTCCAGCCCCAGTTACAAATTTACAGGATCTTAACTTTGCGGCATGTAAACAGCCACAGCCACAAGATGGCTAAGAAACCACTTGCTAAACAGCTCTGTCAAATCTAACAGAGGCGTAAGAGAGCTGAATTTTATGAGGAGGTACAGTGAATATCATGTGAAGAAACGGAGGGTTTCTGAATCCTGCTGCTTGGGTGGCCCCAGAAAGCAAAGATGAACGCTTTGGTGGAAGAAGAGGGCGGCTGCACATTGTGAATGTTCTGGCATGGATCTGTATGAGGATTACAAATCACCTTTCGATTTCAATGCTGGAGTGAACAGAAATTATCTTTACCTGTCGCCTGGCATAAACCTTTCTCCACCTGGATCACCTACACTGGCAAAGTCAGGTAACTTCCTGCTTTTTTAAAAAAAAAACACCCTCTATATGGAGAATTTAGTGATGTCTGTAAAAAAAGAGCTTATCAATTTAAGAATCCTTAAAATTTGCCTGAAATGCAGATATCAATGAAGGTAGAAGTTGACCTGCTTTTAACTCTGTTAGCTTAGTAGCTTTGATGTGTCTTGTAGATAGTACCTGAAGTACTATGCATTTACCAATTCCACTTTGTTTCTTAACTCAGTAGAAAGGCTGTTTGAGGGAAAATAAAATGAACAAAAGATTAGGAACAAAAGGGCAACTTCTGCAAGATTTGGGTAATTGGTCTAGTTTGACTATTAGGGTTTTCTGGGGGGAAGGTAGGAATTGCATACTTAGACTGTTCAGAGAGAGCTCTGAGGTCATACTAACATCTGCTCTTCCCTTGTACTAAAAATATCACTGATTAACAAAAATGCCCTCTAAAACCTTTACTTTGATCCATCTAGCATTTAGATTGCTAGAATCATACATCTGCAGATAATTAACGTATTTGCAGTGCCCTGAGGAAGCGGCTGCTGTAGTGGCATCTGTCTAGTGCTTACCCCTGCTAATGTCTAGTTGGTAACCTGTTGTACAGAACACTTACAGCCATGCCTGCTACCACATACCACATCCTAATCTGGTTTTACCACCTTTTCTGCCAGATGTAATCATCCAGTGTAATTAAAAATATAGAAAGGTTAGCCAGACTTCAGGTGTGACAAAGCAAGGCAAGGTTACAAAACTGCTGAATTTTTTTTTGGTGGGCTCATTCTTTACAATCATAGAAACATGCAGCCCTTGAGGAGCCTCCATGTGGCCTAAACCAAACCCCTCTGTGGACCAGATGGCCTAGTGGTCTCTGGGGAGCAGGGGTCAGCTTTCACTTCTGCAACTGCTGCATCTCCCACCTCTTCTGACCGGGAGAGCCATCCTCCATGTCTGGTGGTGATGCATCACCATGAGCACCAGCCTTTTCTGGGCTTGTTTTCTTTTTCATTCACTCTGAATTAATGTGTGATTAGTGTTTTGGAGAAGCCCAAGGACTTCCTCCCCCAGGTTGAAGAAATGTCTTGGTTTGGCTTTTTCACGGAGATAAATGGGAAGCACTTAAAATCTTGTCTTTATATATATATTGCAAAATAAATATCCTCTGTAGCGCTGTACATTACTCAGATGTTGGGGTGATCTTACAATCTTGAGACAGCTTGTTCTGAGCTCTAGCAAGTGCCTTTTTTCTTTAGCTTTACCAACTGTGTAGTGATAGCCAAAATGTTCATCCTGAGCATCTGACACAGAATATATCTGTCTAAAGATAAAGCTTTATTAAGGCCAGCCCTCCCCCAGCCCAAAGACTGCTCATCTGAAATTACCAGCACTTCCTTAAACAGCTAATGTTTACTGCTAATCTCTGAATTCAGGCCAGAAAGAGGTAGGCACTTCAGGTCAAAAAAGAGCATAAGCTTGGGTTGAAACCAACCAACGCAAACGCCAAGCCAGAGAACCTGAATGTAGATTGAATGACTCTAATGCTTTGCCTAATCTGGCAAATAATAGGGACTGAAGTGCCATTTCCCTGAACATAATCTGTGAAGTCCTACTAATTTGCTTATGTCTTTATTTGGTACATTTAATTAGATCTATTAAACTGCTGGGAGCATATGTTAATCTTAGGAATACAGAGACTTGAAAATTGACCTTAAAACTACTAAGTTTTCCCTAGATAAGTCTTCCCTTTTTTTTTTTTTCCCTGACAGAATTTTTGCTTCCTGGTCAGGCTGCCTGGCATGGCCTTCCTTCCCATAGCACAGATGAGCCCTGTGTCCTGTAGGTATTGAAGTGAACTGAGGAATGGGAGCAAAGCAAGCGCAGAGGTGAAAAGTAACAGGGGATCAGAGAGGAGGTGTCAGAATAAAGACTAGTGGGAAGGTGTTAGGATACTTCAAATGGGCCTAAAGAAAAAATAGGGTGGGGCAGGGGTGCAGAAGGCAAGGAGGGGAAGGTGTGGTTAGATGTACAATGTGAGATATGGAGGATTCTGATAGCAGTGATTTCCTGTTTCCCCAAAATATCTAGAAATGGGAAGGGGGGGGGAAAGATAATTCCCTTGCTTCTTAGCATTCTTTTAAGTTCAGTGTAGGCAAACAAGCAGCACAAACTTCTTAAAACACCAGTTTTCCAAAGAGAAGGTACACTCCCAAAACAGAAGCTATTGCTATGGCAGACAATCCAGTGTGTTTTCCTGCTGCTGGACTCACTTGATCTATTTTTGATGAGATAATCCAGATGACTCCTCATAACCAGATTGAACAGAGTTTCCGCTGGATGCACTAATGCTCTGGGTGTCAGCATGATCTTTGGAACTTGTAAACTTTCTGAAATGGCTTTTGCAAAGGCAAGCTCTGTAGTTGGGGCTGCAGATGAAGAACAAGGTCAGGTGTTGGAGACCAGTGTACTGGGGGGTTTTAGAGTGTCAGAAGAAATTGCAGTTTAAATTGTTAGCTTTCCTTCAGTATAGGCATATGTAATTAATAGGATATATAGCAATTTGAAAAAAGGTGTGGCATTCATAACCATCTGATGTGGCAAAAAGGAAATATAGTGATGTATAACAAAAATTACCTGGTAAACACAGATTGTTTTTTTTATTTTTATTTTTTTAGGTGCTGTAGTGCTGTGCTTTGATTTGGGCACTAGACTCAAACTTTTTATCTGCCCTCAATTCCTGCCAGAAAATAGCATATTGGAAAACCTGTAGGAACTACATTGTATTTATGTAAAAGATGGATGTAAATCTCTGGGAAAATTTGGTAGAGATGCCATAAGTAAACACAGATTGGGGTTTCAGTTGCTTTCTGGGTGCTTCCTTCTCAGAGAACTCTGTGTTAACTTACCGTTTACAAATGTTCTGCGCACATAGCAGTGTGCTTCTAGAGGACACAAATACAGGCAGAAAATACACTGTTTTGGAAAGAATTTGTGGAATTGAACTTTACCTCAGTTCAGTAACTTGATGAAGGACAAGGCCTCTTCATTTCTTAGGCTTGGCAGCTCCTAGGAGCACATTTCATAAAATACCTACAACTAACTACAGACTTGTAGAATCTTTTTTCCCCCTGACTTTTCAGTTGATCATGATGTAGCTATTTGATATCAAGTGTCACAGTAAAATCTAATGTTGGTCTTATGGCACATTAACGGAGTTTTTGTATTCCTAGACCAGATGGTATTATGCAATGCCATCAGAAGCTGCTGGAAATTAGGATGGACTTTTATCTGGTTAATTACTATAGTGAGTAGTAAGGGAACGATACTTAATATGTCTTCAACTTGCCTGGATCATATATTTATATACATATATATACATACACCCTTCCTACAAACAAACAATCATTCCATGTTAGCTTTTTTAATCTGTTTTAAGATTTGTATTTATTTTTTATTATATATAAAGCTATTTTACCTCTTGAGTAGAGAAATAGTTCTGGAAATCCACAACCACTCCAGCCAGTAGCATCTCTGCAATTGGTCTCTTTGCAAACTACAGCAGGATTCTTTAGCTCTGGCAAACTGTATGGTTTAAGTGTCAGCCACAAAGATTCAAAATGAGAAAGCTTTTGCTGGTAGCGTGTTTAAAGTTATGTAAGTGCAATCACTAAGGGCTAAGAATAAACAAATCTTTGAAGTGAGAGTGTCATAGTAACACAAATAATACCATTCTCCTTCCTGAAGCTGTGAAGGTGAAAGTTGAGTAAGACCATAGGGATGTTTGGGATTGATTCAGAAGACTTTGGCAGAGTTTTGGTTATTGGATTTGGAAGAGGAAGAGCAGCAGTGTGAGTGGATGCACACCCTCACCAGCCTTTTCTCAACACTCCACCTCTTTGTCTGAAGTGATAGCCTTTTGTTCCCAAGCTTCTTTTCTGGGCTTCTCATCTCTCTTACTGCCCAGGCACAAAACCAGCATCTTTCTTCAAGCTCACAATATCCATGACTTCCTAGTCACAGTGGTCATAGATAATAGGGACAGAGAGGTTGAGCGAGGTAGAGGAAAAGGGTTTGTACTTGCAGTGTAACCCTTTTCTCTGCTGTTGCTGAGCTTGCTAGTTGCCATGATTACTGAGAATGAGCATTTTTTAATCTAATTCAGAGAGCAGTGAGGGAGAGGAGCCTCTGCATTGGTCTTGAGCACTTCCAGAATTTCTATGCTGCATGAGCAAGAGAAAGAAGAGTGTATGTGGACTCCTGGGCACAGGTTGTGTAGAAACTACTGGTTGGGATGTAGTTTTTACCTTGGCGTCTGTCAGAGTAGTGGGATATGTTTGTGGTTTGGAAACTCTACCACCTTACCCCCACCCAGAAGGGGGAATTGGAAAAAAGAAAGGAGACCCGTGTGTTGAAGTGAAAACAGATCTAATAGCATAATAATGAACTAATACTAATCCCAACGCTAATGTAAGATACAAAGTTATACTTAGCCCCAAATCATGAGCTGTGCACGAACCAGAGCATCTTATCTCTCTTGTTCTCACGGACTCCACAGCCTCTCAAAACTACAGTTTCTCTGAACAGAAAAATTGTTTTGGAACTTTGTCCCAGCAAAATCAGGACAGTGGTTCTCAGCATGTTTCCAGTCTCCTATTACAGCCACAGTTGCAATCATATTGAGCTCTAAAATGCTGCTGGTTTCCTGTACACTGTAGTGCTTGGGGAGCATGACTTTGGTGTCCCCTCAGGCTTTCTTTGTGCACTGGCACAAAAGGACTGTACATTAACCTTGGCTGCTACATGGCAAACACATGATGATATGACTTTTAACTGTTTATTCACCTCAAGGGCTGCTGAGAAGTGACTCTATACCTGAGGTTGGAGAGGATGCTGCTGCTACAGTTAGTATGGCAGAAACACTCTCAGAAGAAGAACAGGATGAGCTAAGAAAAGAGCTTGCTAAGGTAAATCTCTTGCAAATACCTATTAAATTGGTTTTGAGAATGAAAATCTGTGATAATGCTGTCTTTAATGTACAGTTAATGCTTTGCATATTTATTGTGTGACTATCTAAAGTTGTGTCGGGCACTCCTGTATATTGTGGGGAGGGAAAGGGAAGGTGTCAAGGAGAAAAGAACATCCAGTTCTAGCTATGGGGAATTAAGCTAGACGTGCTGAGCATACAGGTCTTAAACCAAGATGCATAAATGCCTAACGCTTTTTTTCCACAAGTGAGAAGGGGGTAAATAAGCTGTCAAAGAGAACATGGTTGGAAGCCAAAAGCAGGTATTGTCTCAGATGGTGTGGAGTAACTAAAGCTGTTGTTTTCATGAAGGATGCTTTGCAGTGATATCCATGTAGTCACTGTTTAGCCACTGGCTAACCATATAACTGTTCTTGTCCATAGTTCATATAGCAGATTTTTTTTAAGAGCAAGTTAAAGTAGCACTGTTTGAAGGACAGATATTCAAGCCTGATACATGTATTCCAAAATTGTCAAAGTGAAGCTTTATTGAGTCACTAGTCATTTTTTTTTTCTTGTAGCTCTTTATGTCTGTCTTTAGAACCCTAATAAAAGACACTAACTTAAGGCTAAGGTTGACAGGTAAAGATTATGTGTGAAATAAGCACATTTAATACAGCCTTGGTTTTGGTAGTCATGAGTATTATTTTGTGCCAAACCAAACAACTGAAGGTGGCAGGGGAAATCTGATCCTGCTAGGGTGTGTCATGCTGGACTTTGGACAGGTATCCAGAACAAAGGTGCATTGAAAATACTTGGTATTTCCTCAAAGGAGCCTTTGAGGATGAGTGGGCAGCCTGACACTCCAGAGTAGGGTGGTCCAGTCTGGATGAAGAAGTGGTGTTGGATGTCTGCCTTTACCTTTGTACATAGAGACTTAGTGTGTCTCTCACATCTATACAGTCCACAGAATGTCATAGTAAAGCTCTTTTGACATTTCTGATTGTGCTCTAGTCATGCTTCTGTGAAAGGCTTAAGCGATCATCTGTGAAAAGAAGGAAGTATACAAACAATACAGTTTTCTAGTTGCTGAGCAGGTGCTGCATTTTTGTAGTGGGTTTTATGGTCGATTTTTTTTCTGGGTAGGGGGGCTGTTTGGGTTTGGTTTTTTTTGGATGTTCTGTTCGGGTTTTTTTAACTGCTCAGTCTGCCACCATTTCCACCCTGGTCTGGGGACAGCATTCCTGTGGCTGCATTTAGCCTGCAGTTGCTGGCTTCAGCCACAAAAGCACGTTTCTGTTGAAGCAAGGAGACAAACTTGTGTATGGCACAGACACGCTTTGAGCTTCCTGATACTGGTCACACATTGATACTTCTGACGTGGAAGGAGAGTACAGGCTTGGCAATTGTCCCAGGTTTGACTAATCTTCAAGTTTCACATAGGCTAATGTTGCCTAAAGGTAATGAATTCTAAATATACAGTCTTTAGTTACCAAGTTCTTTGTGCATATTCCAGTACTATAGCTAGCTGCAGGTAGATGACTTTCTCACTAACTAGTTCTTGTTGCAGACTATGTTGGTTTTCCCTTTTAGTACTTAGAAACAACTGTGAGGCAATGTTAAAAACTCATTGGCCCTTCTATTACTGATGCTTACTAGATGTTTTATTAAACACATAGCTAAATGGCTGGGTATATTTCTTGTTAACCTTTCTCTCATCAACTCTGCTGCCACAGGTGGAAGAGGAAATCCAGACACTCTCACAAGTGCTGGCTGCCAAAGAGAAGCATCTAGCAGAAATAAAGAGAAAGCTGGGAATTAACTCATTACAGGAACTAAGGCAGAACATTACCAAAAGCTGGCAAGATGTTACATCAACCACGGCGTATGTACCAGTTCACAGTGATTGTTTCAGCTGTTGATGTGAAAACTATGTAGTTCTCATGTCATGTCTCAACCCTCTGTTCTTGTGAAATGAGTTAGATAACACAAAGTTAAGTTCCACTGACATTTACCTGGAAAAATGATCACAGATTTCTTTCAAGAAAGCCACAATTAGCCATATCTCCTGCAAAATAAGAATGAATGACTACAATATGGGCAATTCTAAGACTTTTTTTTCCTAACAGACTTGAGATACCATTACTGAGATACCAAGGTGTCCTAAGCCCGACATAATACCTTTCTTTTCAGGCCTGAAAGATTGTTGTAAACTGAGCTGATGCAGGAAGAGTGCAAAGTCACTGTTAATGTTCTTGCCAAGCACAATTGTTAGCTTAAGGTCTAGAGTGAACTGCCTCCTGCAATTATTGACTATACAGAATGTAACAGGATGTGCCACGATGAATTTTATTGACAAAACCATTTGGTACAAGATATTAGATGCTTGGCACAAGAAATAGACCTCTGTTCTTTTTTGCTGCATGAACAAGGTGGTGGGTGTTTTGGTGAGGTTTTTTTTTGTTGTTGTGTTGGGGTGTTTTGTTGTTGGTTGGTTGGTTGTTTTTTTTAAGTCCTACAGTAGCAGAGAGTCTCTGTTCTGGAGGCGGAGTAGGAGGTGCCTGTTGGTGAAGCTGATCTAAAGTCTGAGGTGGCAGAGATGCTGTAGCCAGAAGGGACTGCAGTGACTCAAAATAATCTCTTAAGTAGCTTGTCCATTTGACCTCAGAGTTGAAGTATACCTCTGGGTTTGCACTAAAAGGTTCCTTATGTTTTCTATTAAAGTAACTACAGACTTAATTTTGTTTGAACACAGATACAAGAGAACATCAGAAACCCTGTCTCAGGCTGGTCAGAAGGCTTCTGCAGCTTTTTCATCTGTTGGTTCAGTCATAACGAAGAAGTTTGAGGATGTTAGGTAGGTTTCTTTAGCTTTTTCCCAAGTAGTTGCATTTATGATTAAAGCAGGTGATCACTGAAATAAATTTATGGTGTTAACATATTGAGCACTTCTAAAAGTCTATCACGAACACTCAGTGTCTTATTTAAGGAGTGCTGAGTGACTTGCTGCAAAATCTGCTTGCATGTCCTCAATGATGCAGAAGAGTTCTGTAGTGTGTATTTTATATATATGCAAGAGAAGTAATGATGCTGTTACCTCCACTTATACTCTTATTTTTCTGGTAAGATTGCAGGTGGCAGCACCTCTGCCTGCTTCTGTGTGATGCACTTAGCATTGTTTCTCCTTCTCTTACTTTCTCAGTTTGTGCAATGCTACATTTAAACAACTAATGTCTTCAACTGTTTGTGGTTTGGTTGGGTTTTTTTAGGGTTTTTTTGTGTCTTGTGTGTGGATTCCTTTCAGATGTGTTTTATTTCTTCGTAAACTGTTCTACCTCATAGCAGCGGCTTGGTTTTATTACCTTTTTAATAAACAATTGGCACTTTTTATTTCTGAAATATTTGCATACAATGTATTTTGACTTTGTGCCAAATGACACAGCCTTTCATTAGGTAAGTTTGTTGGTAATTTTTAGCACTGTTCTGAGCTGCATGCAAAATTTGAATCATATCCTTACTTTACAATTCTTTGATAATATAATTTTTATGACTGGAATGTATATAGCTACTCATCTTTTCTTGTAACTTGTGAATAGTTAATCAAACTTATTTTTCAGTTATTGGACAAATAAAAATGGACACATTTTAACAGAATATTGCTGCAGTGGAAAGCAGTGTAATAAAATCAGCCCTCAATTTTAACGTGCTGCCATTAACCTCTTCATTGCTTTTTGAAGTCTAGTGAGAAAACGCTTTTGAGCAGCTACACAGTTACATATTTTTCTTCAGATTTATCAGAACTTCCTTTTTCTCTTTAATGCTTACTCTGGCATTGTGCAGACTACAGGCATTTTCACATTCCTTTAGGTAAGGTGGACACAAGAATTGTTTCTGAAACTAAGCATGTAGTCAGACTTTAAAGTCTTTAACTAAGTTTTCTCTGTGAAAGGTTATTTATTTATTTTTTTTCTCCAGTGTTAGTTAATGTAAAACCCAAGGTCTAATGTCAGGGAAGATGTTTCTTGATGTTCACCTGGTAACTATCCTGGAACATGAAATCTTGAGAATACATATTAATCAGTTATTTTCTCTTTCTTGTAAGAAAGGAATCTGTTAACATGATTCTGGAAGATTTTTTTTTAAGGAGATAGAATATGGTTTTGAGGTCAATGGCATGCAGATTTTCTCCTCTTTGTCTGGACAGTGTTTGTGCCTTTTTTTGTCTGTTTAGCATTTGTCTGTTTTGTTGTTTAGCATTGTGACTCTAATAAAATCACTGGAGTTTAAATGTAAAATGATTTATGTGTTGTCCAGTGAAACACTCCTTATCTTTGAGTTTATTACTTTAGCAGCTGCAGACACTGAGTATTATAGTTACCTTTGTCTGCATTGCCTTTTATCTGCCTACTCTAAGCAAATATTCAATGTTAAATTGTCAATAGTTAAAATTCCTGTTTCTGTCCATTGCCTCTTAGGCTATCTATGTACACCTCTTGAGTATGGCTTCATCTTTTTTGTGTTCACACTAAGTAGCTAGAGACATCAGCAGGATCTCCATAAAGATGTAGGGATCTGGCCCCAGAACACTGACTAGGAGCTAAAGCCCCAGGGGCAGTCCCTGGGGAAATGGGCAGTGGCACAGGGCACTATCAGACTCTTGAAGTGAGCTAAATTTGCTCAAGTATAAGAATAGTAGCAGCCTGTCTGAAATATCTCCCCCCCCACTTAGCATCAGTAAGACGAAGGAAGCCTGGGGGATATCTGGAGGATGTCTCTATACCTTTTGATGCAGAGCTCAGCAGTTCACTTATCAGGGTTCACCGTTCTTTCTTAGGACTGTGGTGTTCCCTTACTAGTACTAGACTATTGCATTTGACAAGGACAAGCACAGACTCATAGGCCTCTTTTGGCTTCAGGAATTTAATACTTCAAAAGAAGTGTGTCCTAATTATTCAAGTTAGTGCCTAGGTGGATAATGAATGAGTACTCTCCATCAGAAACTGGGCCACTGGGAGGCAATGTAGCACAGCCAGAGGAGTATGGTTGTAAACTCAGAAACCGTTCGGTTTAAAAAAGAAGGTGGGAAGAATTAGTGCTGTCCAAGATCTTAGTTGCACTTAAACAGATTTAAAGGCTGTGAGTTTTTTTGCTTTCATGAGGATTAAGTTCATTTGGGATTCAACCAGTGAATTCAGGTCCCAGGGTTATGTCATTACTCAAGTGGTGTCTACTGCAGAATTCGGTACTTTAGAAAGCTTTAGATGCCTAGGTTCTTTCCTTGAAATAAGAATTGATGAGCCTGATACATACTTGAACAAACACTGAATATGCAGATGCTTTTTTAGTATTTAACTCTTATGTGGCTTCTTTATCATTGTTTCACTTTTTTTGTATTGTTTTAGCTTAGGGACTTCTCAGCTGTAATGACATGATTTCTTCTGTGTTGCACTATTTCCATACGTTCCATGCAGCAAATATCACATGCAGGTCTTCATTCTTGTGCTGCAAAGTGATTTTGGAGGGAATTGCTAAAGGGAGTAAGGCAGCTGGTGGAGCTCTGAGCTTGGAAAGTACTGAAACAGAGAGGCAAAGAGAGGACTCAGTGCAAAGTCAGCATATTATTGCTTCCTTTTTGTATTTGTTTTCTTTGGTTTTTGGTATGCTGAATATGAACTCTGTTCCTTCTTAGGCTTCACTTAATACCTTCATTTCCCTTTATAAGAATGTCTTGTACTTTTCATGAGCTAGCCATCTTTGTGTATGCAACATCAGTATTACGTGCAAAAAAGTACCAAGATGTAGCACTCTGCAGACTTCCTCAGCAGTCATGACTTTGCACTTAGCTCCTCTTGCACTGTATCCATATTGTGGAGCAGAAGTCCTCATCTTTGTCTTGTTCTGAAATTGCAGAATAACTTTCTTCACTTCAACAGATTGCTTTGGAAATCTCCTAAATATCATAATTTATCAGTATATTGGCTGAAAACCTAACTATTAACAAAAGCAAGTAACTAGTTCTTATGATTCTTAAGCCCATGTTTTCCAGGCAGGGACTCTGGCATACCTCACTCTGCATTTTGAAAATGTGAGGGAGTGTAGTAGCTGTAAAAATAATTGTGTAAAGGATAATAAAGCTTTTAATGCACTACAAAATATATGGAAGGCTGGAGAGCAACTTCTTGTGCCTCTTTTGGTTTTAGGGTTTGTTTTTAAAAGCTCGGGGGTTTGCTTGTGAGCATTTTAAAAAGGGCTTCTCTTCTTCAAACTGCCCAACTTGATTGCCTAGTTGAGTGAGTGCTTCGATGTGGCATTCTGTCCTTTGTGAAAAGAAAAACATTTTTAAAGCTCTTCAAGGGGAAATTGTGCTTCTTCGCACTACTTGAAGAACAGGTGATTTGAGGTATAAAAAGATGAACTTCATTTATCTAATGCAGTTCTCTTGTAAACCATCATTAAACTATATACTACCTTATGGTGACATTTTACAGAATAGATATTGAGAATATGCATGTGTATTGTACAACAGCAAGTAAATCCTTCACAAATGTACAAATAGTTCTTCCATTAGATTATCTCTATACAAGAAACATTTAACAACATGTAAGACTAATTTGTGTTAAGAGTAAACAAGGATTTTCTAGAATATGGAACTAAATTAGATTCCAGGTGGTCTTGAAGTTACTTGGGAGCTCCTTAATCTATATCCAGTCACCTTCTAGGAGTAGATGTGTGTTGTCACTCATCAAGTAGTAACTGTATAACAAAACTGGCAGGTTACAGAAATCCTCCATGAATTTCAGAACAAGGTTGAGATTAGGACTTTCTTCCTGTCCCCAGCATAAACCTGACCTTGAAATATAGATTGATGTGACTGCTCTTACTACATAACTTATATTGATGAGTAGATAATTTGTATTGCTGATTGTGGAAATCTTATATGGAATTGAAATGGAAGCCTTCTGAAGGTAGCTATAATTCTTTCAGTAGGAAGATTAGTTCACTGATAAGAATCTTGAGTGTTCACTTTCTACTTGATATTGTCAAAACTGTAAATGCAGCATGACTCACTGCTTGAGGAACTTAATGAGTAGACAGACTGTTGCAGCTTACCAGAATACATACTTTAGCATGGCACTTGGATCTGTCTAAAAAAGGAAGAAGGTGTTGCAGCTTTTGCTCTGTTGTTTTTGTATGTGTGCATGGCTAAGCGATTCTAAAAAAGCAAACCCAAGCAGTTACTGTGTAACACTGTGTAAGGCTGCTTGGCTATTTGCCAAAGATAGTATCCAGAAGTCCGCTCTCTCAGCCAATTTCTTCTCAGTCTGTCACTTGAACTAACTTCTCACTTTCTTTTTTCTTAATGCTGGCATTTAGTATACGCTCCATACAACATTCCATTAGCATGCCTATTATGAGGTAATGTATGCATAATCCAGCTGTTTGGTTTCTTTATTTTCATGTGTGAAATCAAGTAAAATTTAACTTAAGTAAACTAATACAGATTTAAAAGCAGACAAAGAAAACCCTCACCGAACTTGGTAAAGGATTTCCTGTGCTAACATAGAGTATAAAACTTACTTTATTTCTGCTTAACGGTGGTCGTTATCACACATCTGGAATGTGTCCTGCTGTTTGGAGAACTATAACAACTTTTCCCTGCCCATCAGAAATGTAATGCTACTAAATTGTTCCAAGTGTAAAAGGTAATACCTTGGCACCTGTTTTAGAACAATGAAAGTGATTAAAAAATATTGTGGTTTCTCAAAAAGTCTCTTGTTGACTTGGAGTGCTTGTCTTTTCTTTCTTCTTGCTTGGCATTTTGTCCCTCCATCTCCTGAGAGAGTCTGGTTTGATATATGTGTGTGTGTCACTGTGTGCTTTCCCAAATAAAAGAAAGCTTCTAAGTGTGGGTGGCCTACACAAATGCCAAGCAAAGGAGGAAGGGAAGCTTAACACCTCTTGGAAAAACCCTCCTGTCTTTCATCTTTATATAATAGTTTTATTTTTTTTTTTGTCTGCTATGAATCCTCAGTCCTGGTCCACTGAAGGCAAACAGTTTTTGTCCTGCATAAAGGCAGAAAAAGGTGTATAAGCTATTGCACACTTTTGCAAATGGCATTGACAGCTAGTCAGGGCACTAATAAGTCACTTGTTTGGCCCTTATAAATAATACACCGGCTTTCAGCATTGAAAATCCCAAGCTGTCCTGCTCTTCATGTGCAGAACTTGCCATTTGTAATTCCAGCTGTCCCCAGCACTTAAAAGGCAAGGGGGAGTCTCCCTTAAATTTAACATGTTAGCAGAAGAGACCACTGCAAACTGTATTTTGTTAATTGAACACACAGCCTATTAAACTATTTTTCCTGTAACAAGTAAAGAAACTAATGACAAGCTTTCTTCAGCAATAATGTACTAAACTATCCAGAGTGGTGACTCAGCTTTTCCAAACAAATCCTTTAAGCCAGAAACCTGTTTGTAATCACTGTTTGAAATCACTGGGAATAATAAGCTAAACCTAAAATACTTGCTAGTTAACCCTTCCACATTGTGATGAAAGAGCCTAGTAAAAACATTGCCAGAGATAGAAATGAGCTACAGCCTGTGCTTGAATTTTAGTTTTGTAGTCCTTGGGGAGATTAAAACTTATTTTTAGGCTACCCTTTTTAAACAAGGAGAGAGCCCCAAAGAAACAAAACTCACGTTGACATTGGAAAAAGGAACTGCCTGCTTGTTTTCTGGTATTTATAGACTAACAAGATATGTTTTTAATTCTGCGGTTCCGTTTATTTTCCTAGAAATTCTCCTACTTTCAAATCCTTTGAGGAAAAAGTTGAAAGCCTGAAGGTAAGCATTACTAAAACATCTTGGTGATTGTGGAGCTGTGGATGTGGAGAAAAGACTGAACTGGACTCTGGGTAGCCTGTGTTTGGTTATTGGTAGAGTCTTGATGATACTTGGATGACATCTTTTTAAGTACTGTGGAAATGGTTTCTCTGCCTAATGATTTGAGAATAAAAAATGAGCTTGCTGCATCTCTTATGGGAGGATGCCTTTAACTAGCAGGACTAACAGCTATTATTATGTATCCAAAATCTAGTCTTTTATTTCCTTGCCTTCCTAAGGATTAGTATTCTACACAGGAATATAGTCTGTGAAGTTTCTCATTTCTTGCACAAAATGTGCAAGGTCTTTGTACAGAGATGTAAAATTTGCTGAGAAAAGCCTCAGGTGCCAGAAACAACGATTAATAGCTTCTCTACATAAAAAAAAAAAAAGTCCCTTAAAAGATAACTAATATGTGTAACTGGAACCAGATTAGACTGTTCTTGTGGGAACACTGGTTTGGATGAGAAACATGCAAGTGATGGCATGGGGAACTAGGCATTCCCTTGAAAACGAGTTGGCATTAGCACTCCTGCCATCCCACAGGGTATATACCATAGAGGGAAGTGAAAAGGCACATGTTACCTGAATGAAGTAAAATAGTTGCAGTGCTTCACTGAATATCTCAAGAATTGCTGTTGAGACTGAAAACTGTTTAAGGTTCTCTGTCTTTCAAAGCCTAAATGGCTTGAAGGCCTTGCATACCTGTATCCATTTTGAGCTGAGTGTGTGTCAACCTTCATGCACCCTGGAATCAGAGCTGCTTTGTGCTTTGCTATCTGGAAGTCAAAGGGAAACTGCTATGTTCATCTGCTGGTGGTGATTGCTTTCTGCATGATACCTGAAGACTTGTCTCTTGAGTATTGTGGAGGTAGCTCAGTCCTGAAAAAGCTGCTCTGCTGAAAAGAGTTATTAAACTTTTTGATGCAGAGGTACTGGTTTTACACAGCTAACAATTTTTGGCATGACAAGTGACTGCAATTCTATGTCTGTGTTCTAGTCTAAAGTTGGAGGAGGCAAACCTGCTGGGGGTGACTTTGGCGAAGTTCTCAACTCTGCTGCCAATGCCAGTGCCACAGAAACCATTGCAGAACAGACACAGGAGGAGACCCCCTGAGATTCCTGCCACTGTCCTGCTACCCACTGCCAGATGCTGCAAGCAAGAACTAAGCACACTTGTAACATTATTTGCTCTCTTTCCACCAGATGTGCTTTTATTTAGCATGTAGATATTTTACCAGATTAACTGATATCAGGCTTGTTTGTGGGTTCAGAATATTTTTGAAACTAAAATACATGGTTTGGGATTTTGTGTGGGAGGGGGAATTTGTATGCCTTTTGAGCATTTAATGGACTTACTGTAATTTGAAGGTAACCTTTAAAATATAGCAATGAGAAAAATCTCTTTTAAGAAGTTAATTATACTGTACATATACTGTAGATACATAATTCCTTTTGAATCTGTAACTACTGCTCATCTTAATCATTATGAATCTACTGCTGCTGCTGCCAAACTGAAGCTTGCTCCTTCACTCCCTTGTGTTCATTTCAGTCACATGTTGCCTGCATGGGACACAGGACTAGGAGGGTCACTCGCAGCTCAAGAAAGGACTTTCACTTCAGCAGGCTTTAAACATGTTACTCAGAGCAGGATTACATACAGTTAGGAACGTACTGGTTTTATGAGCGTGTTCCTCATACAACACATACAACAGATGCAGATAGGGTAGTATGTAACATTTAAAACCTACTGATTTATCTGTGGATTATCTATCTAGGAGACTGCTGGCCATCACAAATGGAAGCAAGATGCCTAATATGGTTCAGTGACAAAAAACATCTTGCAGTCTCGTTTGTTGTACATATTAATGTGGTAAGATACACTCTTCTGAACTTCTGATTGTTTGTGAAATAGATTAATCTCAATTCACACATGGTGGTGTCACACTTATGCTAATGAAGCACGGACTGACTGTAAGAAAATAAGCCTGAGCATGAAAGTGGTTCTTTTGTAAGGCATGGAGAGACTTGCTCTCAGATGCTAACATTGTTTTCCTGACAGGCCACCCGTTGAAAACATCTGCTAAACCATCTTACTTTTCTTAAGTGTTGAAGGCCTGTACCACTGGTGTCCCCTTTCCCGAGACCCCAGAAATCTGTATCAAGGGGCACACAGTGTCGTGCTGCAGCATAGCTCTCTCACAAGATCTGTTCTCCTACTTGTTGCTTTATCTGATGTACTCTTCCAGTTTCTTGTATTTCTCCGTTTCCAGCACATGGCGTCAGTTAGAACTTTTGGCAAGTGTTTTATCACTGTGCTTGGAACTGGAAACAAGTTTTGAAACATCTGTGTGAAATCCGTGAAATCTCAACTGCCACAGGTGTCTGGATGGAAAAAGAAGTTTGCTCCTGACAGCCTTGTTCGCATGTCAGATGTAGCGTATGTGCTTAATTACATGTGAGAAGCTTAATAAAAACCTGTATGTGAGGAATGTATCGTCCTGTGAATATGGAGGATTACGTAAGCTTGGCATTTCTAAAGAAGATGAGGCCTAGACTTCTAGTGGCTGACATGAAAGTAAACTGTCCTGATTTGCACTGGGAAGTTGGGGAAATGGGTTCAGATGTACCCTTAGCCTGATCTCCCTCTGTGGTGTCAGTACCACCGTGGGGCACGCCCTTCTGGAACATTCTCTGCGTTGTACAGGTTCTTTATTTACCTCACTGACGATCAGAAGGGTTCTCAAGCCCTGAGCTGGGCTTTCTGGCTTACGAAGGAAGATTATCTGAAGGCGAGGTGGCTGCGGTGCTGGGCCTGCCCCTCCGCCCTCGGCTTTGCAGCTCTGCCTGCGCCCTTCCCTCGAGCGCCAGCAGCCTCGGGGCGCCCGTCGCAATTCCAGCTTTACTTCCAGGGGTGTGCGTGCTCACCTTTCTCCCTTCCCCTGAGGCAGAGCTGCCGCCCTCCCTGCCCTCGGCCTGCGGGGCCGGGCCCGGGGGGGCAGGACGGGGCAGAGCGGAGCCGCCCTCAGCCAAGATGGCGGCGGCGGCCTCAGCCGGGCCCTGCGCACGCGCCGTCGGT